ATTTTACAAAATTTGCAGCAATTTACAGGTTGAGGAAAAAGCTAAGTATGTTGTTTAGAGATGGTCTAGCATCCGCATAATGATGCCTTGGTAGTATCCCTCCGGGTTGGGGAGTGCCAAGTGAAGCGCATCCTGATTGATCAAGGCAGCTCTTGTGACATCATGTACGTTAGATGCTACAAAGAGCTGGGCCTTCATCCTGATGACTTGGAGCAATCAAATAGCCCGATGGTCGACTTTAATGGAACGCCGACGTGGCCACTGGGCATAACAAGCTTGGAAGTACAAGCTGGCACTAAGAAAATCAGGACAGAATTCATGGTGATTGACACACCTTCACCATATAACATCATCTTGGGAAGACCATGGTTGCATGCAATAGGGGCAGTTCCCTCAACATTGCATCAACTACTGCGATTCCCAATAGAGCATGGGATTGAAGAAGTCAGAGGAGATTAACTGCAGGCAAAGAATTGCTCCATGGCAGCAATGAAATCCACCTGCAACATTCGAGAATCAGAAAAGGCAGAAATTGAAGATAAGGACGTAGAAGTCCTAGAAGACGTCGGCAAAGAACCAGCCGAGAAGAGCGAAGAAGCGCTGAAGAAAATCTTTGTCCAGGATGGAGACGAAGAACGCTTCTTTCTTTTCGGCTCAAGCTTAGCCGAAGAAGAGAAAAAAGAGTTGGAGACTTTTTTAAGAGCCAACATTGAGGTGTTCGCCTGGACACCTTACGAAATGCCTGGCATTGACCCCAAGGTCACTTGCCACAGACTGAATGTCGACAGATCGAAAAAACCTGTGATTCAACGAGCCAGAAGACCGACGTTGATGCACGTCAAAGCAGTAGAAGAAGAAATGGAAAAACTTCTGGAGGCCAGGGCCATCCGAGAAGTTCATTACCCGACATGGCTATCCAACACAGTAGTGGTAAAGAGGAAGAACGGTAAATGGCAGGTCAGCGTAGATTTTACAAGCTTGAACAAAGCTTGTCCCAAAGATTGCTTTCCTCTACCCAAGATTGACTAGTTGGTAGATGCCACATCTGGACATGGAAGGATGAGCTTCCTAGGCGCTTACAGAGGATATCACCAGATAGCCATGTACGCCCCAGACGAAGAGAAGACAACGTTTATCACCCCGAAAGGACTGTATTGTTACAAGGTAATGCCTTTTGGGTTGAAAAATGCAGGAGCAACTTACCAAAGGTTGGTAACCAAGATGTTCAAAAATCTGATTGGCCAAACAGTGGAAGTCTATATTGACGACATGGTCGTGAAGACCAAGGATCTAAGGGGTCATCTTGCCGACCTAAAAGAGGTCTTTGAGATACTCAAAACATACCGGCTCCGACTCAACGCATCAAAGTGCGCGTTTGGAGTTGGATCAGGTAAATTTTTGGGGTACCTGGTAACAAGAAAAGTCATTGAGGCCAGCCCAGATCAAATCAAGACCATCTTAGAGCTAAAAAGCCCGACGTGGGCAAAACAAGTTCAGATGCTTACTGGAAGGGCCGCAGCCCTAAAAAGGTTCATAAGCCGAAACTCAGACAAATGTAAACCTTTCTTCAACCTGGTAAATAAGGCCACAACATTCCTATGGACTGAGGAATGTGAGGCCGCCTTGGCCGACCTAAAGAGGTATCTGACCACGGCTCCAGTCCTCTCAACACCTGAACCTGGAGAAGAGCTGTTTTTGTACTTAGCCGTTTCAGAACATGCAATAAGTGCGGTATTAATTCGTGAAGAAAAAGAGGAGCAAAGGGCTGTTTACTATGTAAGCAAAACCTTAGCCGATGCAGAAACAAGGTATCTACCTTTGGAAAAATTGGCGCTAGCTTTGGTAATGGCTTCAAAGAAGCTGAGCCATTACTTTCAAGCGCAAAAGATTATAGTGCTGACAGAACACCCACTAAAGTCCTTGTTACAACAAAGAGACTTAACTGGAAGAATAGCAAGATGGGCAGTGTCCTTGGGCCAATATGACCTGGAGTTCAGGTCGAGAACAGCAATTAAGGGCCAAGTTTTGGCCGACTTCGTGGCCGAATTCACGCCGGAATCGATCGAACATCAGGCTCCGTTGAGCCGAGATGAACGATGTCCAAGCAAGTAAGGAGAAGCCCAGCCAAAGACAAAAGAACAAGGAAAAGAAAAACTAAGACCCTGCAGCATTTACATCGGCGACTCCTTTCGCCTGTTTGTCGATAGAAGTTCAAACCGGCAAGGAGCGGGGGCAAGAGTAGTGTTAATATCTCCTGATGGGGAGATATTGGAACAATCTATTCGATTGGGGTTCAAGGCCTCAAACAATGAGGCAGAATACGAAGCACTGATTGCAGGACTGAAACTAGCAGTGGCAGCAGAGGCAGATGAGGTAATAATTTTTTGTGATTCCCAACTTATAGTAAATCAAACAACAGGAGAGTTTGCAACCCGAGATGATAGGATGTCGGCATACTCAAAGGAGGTCATCAGACTGACAAACTTGTTTCGTAATTGTCGACTTCTTCAAGTCAGCTGAGATGATAACAACTACGCTGACGCGTTGGCCAACTTGGCAAGCTCAATGCAAACTGGAAAAATAAGAACAATAATGATTGACTATCTGTCAAACCCAAGCATAGAACAGCCGATCACAGAGCAAGAAGCAATATGTGTGGACTTGGGTCCAAGCTGGATGGATGTAATTGTTGCATTCCTGAAAGAGGGAAAGCTACCAGAAGACCATAAGGAGGCACACAAGATCAGATTAAAATCGGCAAGATTCAGCCTGACAGCAGATGGACATCTCTACAGAAGGTCCTTTGCAGGACCGTTTTTAAGGTGCGTACATCCTTTACAGGTTGAAGATTTTCTATACGAGATTCATGAAGGGATTTGTGGAAGCCACACTGGGGGCAGATCACTAGCTCACAGGGCCATTACCCAGGGGTATTGGTGGCCCTACATGCAAAAAGATGCAGTAACCTACGTAAAGAAGTGTGAACAATGCCAAAGGTTCGCACCTCTGATACACCAGCCAGCTGCTGACCTGAACCCTGTATCCAGTCCATGGCCATTTGCCCAATGGGGCATGGATCTCATCGGACAGTTGCCCCAAGCAACTGGGCAAAGGAAGTACTTGCTGGTAGCAACCGATTACTTCACAAAGTGGATAGAAGCAGAACCTCTTGTCAAAATCCGAGATGTGGACGTCAAGAATTTCATATGGAGAAACATCTGTAGCAATTTACAACTTGGAGTCAAGCTGATTCCTTATCTTCACTTGTTGAAATTTGTAGCAATTTACAACTTGGAGTCAAGCTGATTCCTTATCTTCACTTGTTGAAATTTGTAGCAATTTACAACTTGGAGTCAAGCTGATTCCTTATCTTCACTTGTTGAAATTTGTAGCAATTTACAACTTGGAGTCAAGCTGATTCCTTATCTTCACTTGTTGAAATTTGTAGCAATTTACAACTTGGAGTCAAGCTGATTCCTTATCTTCACTTGTTGAAATTTGTAGCAATTTACAACTTGGAGTCAAGCTGATTCCTTATCTTCACTTGTTGAAATTTGTAGCAATTTACAACTTGGAGTCAAGCTGATTCCTTATCTTCACTTGTTGAAATTTGTAGCAATTTACAACTTGGAGTCAAGCTGATTCCTTATCTTCACTTGTTGAAATTTGTAGCAATTTACAACTTGGAGTCAAGCTGATTCCTTATCTTCACTTGTTGAAATTTGTAGCAATTTACAACTTGGAGTCAAGCTGATTCCTTATCTTCACTTGTTGAAATTTGTAGCAATTTACAACTTGGAGTCAAGCTGATTCCTTATCTTCACTTGTTGAAATTTGTAGCAATTTACAAGTTAGAATTAAGTTGATTCCTTGTCTTCACTTATTGAAATTTGTAGCAATTTACAAGTTGGAGTCAAGCTGATTCCTTGTTTTCACTTGTTGAAATTTGTAGCAATTTACAACTTGGAGTCAAGCTGATTCCTTATCTTCACTTGTTGAAATTTGTAGCAATTTACAAGTCGAAGTTAAACCGAGATAATTCCTTAATTCACTTGTTGAAATTTGTAGCAATTTACAAGTTAGAATTAAGTTGATTCCTTGTCTTCACTTATTGAAATTTGTAGCAATTTACAAGTTGGAGTCAAGCTGATTCCTTGTTTTCACTTGTTGAAATTTGTAGCAATTTACAAGTCGAAGTTAAGCCGAGATTATTCCTTAATTCACCTGTTAAAATTTGTAGCAATTTACAAGTTGGAATTAAGCAGATTCCTTATCTTCACTTGTTGAAATTTGTAGCAATTTACAAGTAGGAGTTAAGCTGATTCCCTATCTTCACTTGTTGAAATTTGTAGCAATTTACAAGTTGAAGATAAACCAAGATTACTATTTCTCTTCACTTGTTGAAATTTACAGCAATTTACAAAGTCGAAGTAAAGCCGAGGTTATAGTTTGCAACTTACAGCAATTTACACGTTGAGGTAAAAACTAAGTACATTGTTTAAACACTTGTTGAAATTTGTAGCAATTTACAAGATTGATCACTGTTATAACTTAAGAAAAATTTACAGTATATAACACTTGTTGAAATTTGTAGCAATTTACAAGTAGGTTAGACCGAGATCACTATTTAGATACTTATTGAAACTTGAGAAGAAGCTGCAAAGTTAATATTGAATAGTATATGTTAAACACTTGTTGGAATTTATCAAGAGTTTTCAGGTCTGTATCTTGCTGAAGTAAAAGTTGTTGCACCCGAGGTATGTAACCCCGAGGAGATTGCACAAAGGTAGCAAAATATTCTAAGTACCGAACCATGCAGAAGCAATCAACAGAAAATTACAAAGATTGAAACATCTATAGAAAAAACAGTTGCAGTTACATATAGAAGAAGGCACTACGGCCTACCAGAAGTAAATTGTTTTTACAGGAAAAGGCACTTCGGTCATACAAAGAAACTTATATTGTCCACAAAAGAAAACAAGTACAAAAGACAGGAAAGATTATGACTTTTCGGCTTCAGAAAGGATTTGGGTCTGGACCTCGTCCGATTCTTGAAGAAATACCTCGGCAGGTTCCTGAGGAACTACTTCGGCAGCCTTTTCTGCAGCCAGCTCGGCATCGATTTCAGTAAGTGTTTTAGTAAGACTCCTTTCAGCCAGAAGGAGGTCGGAAGATAACGTCCCAATATCAACTTCCTTGGGTACCTCCTCAACCTCCTCATCCTGGGTTAAGTCCAGGATGGGCTCAATTCGAGAAGGAGACCTGACCCCAGCATCATCCTTGGCTTTCTTCATCAAAGCCTCAGCATCATGATCATCTTCATCCTCAGGCTCAGACCCAGATTCTTCTTCGGCTTGACTTGGTGGAGGAGTAGGAAATGGGAGAGGAATAGCGTCGGCATTACGGAAAGGCGAGTCAGCAGGGAGATCAAGTCTTTTTAGCAGAGACATCCAACCAAGGGAAAATCCCCTGTTGCATGCTTGCCTGACTTGAAACTTGTACTCCTCAGTACGTCGGCCATGCCCTGCGCATAAGCCTTTTCATCAGCTTCTTTGGTTTCAGCCTTTTTCGTGGCCAAGGCCTCCTGAAGTTCCTTCTCGGCTTGGGTCGCCTTTTCCTCGGCTTCATTTTTCTGCGCTTTAGCTACTTTCTTTATAGCTTCAGCAGCCTCGGCCTTTTCTTCGGCCAAAGTTTGGGCTTTAGTGGCAGCCTCGGCCTGGTCTTCCAATTTCTTCTTTTTTGCTTGAAGACCCTTATTGATCTTCTGGAGGGCAGAATACTCCTTCTGCAAGTCAGTTAACTTCTCCCTGTTCTCAAAAGATTGCATGGAGAAGGAGTGGGCATGCTGAACAGCCTGAAAGAACACAAAAGCGAGAAGTTATTACAAGAGTTTTGCAAAACAATGAGGAAAAGACAGGTTACCAAGTGAAGACACTTACTTGAACACAGTGTTGAAGCATGAAAGCGTAATTTTCATACTCACTCATTCCAGTATTCTTTTCCAGATCACCTGGGAGAAGAAGAGCTGTACTGAGGGCAACGCCGACATTAATGTCGTCGGCGCTATCAGTAGCCATGACCGGCTTGTCCTCCAGGGTAATCTCGGGCGTCCAGGGGACGTTTGGCACTTTGGATTTTGAAGTCGTTGCAGAGGAGGACCTCGGCCTCTTTGACTTTGAAGATTCTGATGGCTGGGTCTCTGCGTACCTCTTCCCAATAGAGGGTTGGGATTTGCTGCTTTCAGCCAGCTTGGAGATGGGCAGGGTATCTTCAGCCTCGACTACACTTGCCTTGGCCTTGGGCTGAGCCTTTTTGATTCTTTTTGGCTTTGGTGGGGGCATGGATTGAGCTGGAACAGCATCAACATCAGCTGGGAGGTCGGCTAAAAGATCTACTGCAATAGGCTTCGGGCGACCCATCTCAGCCATCTTGACAAGTCGATGCCGACGTTTTCTTTCTGGAATTGGGACTAAGTATGGGGCTGAAGTAGATGGCAGATCGACTGGGTCATAAGTGGATCCTTCGTTTGCTCGTGATGTGGAAGCAATGGGAGGAGTTGTGGCAGAAGGTGGAGAAAGACTCTTTTTCTTCCTTTTTGGGACGTCGGGTAGTGTGGATTTGTATGTCGGAATAAAATTCAGTAACAGGGGAGCCTTGCGCTTATGGATTGAAAGATCAAGGAGCTTCTTTAAATCTTTTCCTGGGAAGTACAATTGGCGAAAGTTTTTTGGTGGCTAATGAAGATCTGCAGAACAAACAGACATTAGAAACAGACAAAGTTTTAAAGACTTAGAAATAACTAAGTATTAATAATGGGCTCTTACCCTTGCCTTCTTTAACTGTTCGAGGAAGAGGGTAGAGATGAACATCTTCGTCTGGGCCAAATTCCCAATTTCCCGAAGCAATGACAAAGTCATCCCCGGCTCCCTTGTTGGAATCCGGGAGGTCGGCTACAATTTTGAACTCGGTAGACCTCGGCTTGAGGTAGTAGACATAACCTCTTTCCTTCAGGTTAAGGGGGCACATGGTATAACAAAATTGGATATCAGCAAGGGTGATCCTAACGTTCTCTTGCCTAGCCAAGGCTATGATACCATTAATCACTCGATAAGAGTTGATGGTAAGTTGCATAGGGTTCAACCTATAGTAGTGGAGAACCTCGCGAAAGAGGGGATTGAGTAGAAGCCGGAGTCCACATTCAGTAAAGGCTACAATAGGAAAGGGCATCGTATGATCTGTGGGCATGATGGAATCATCATCCCCAGCTAGCCTAAGGTGAACATCGGCTGGGATGGAGAACTCCTGCCTAAAGTATTCGAGTTTTGTTGGGGTATTTACCCGATGTCTCCACATACCCATAGCGTCGGCCTAAAGTCAGAGGGCTAGGTCTCAGCAAGAAGGTGTTCTTAAAAAGTTATTGGAACCTCGGTAACAACCTAGGTAAGTATTGATACGGTTTGTTTCAGTTTTCCCTAAATTAAAGGTTCTACAAACAAATCCCAAGCCTAAGAACTATGAAGATCAAAATCAAAGGCACAGATCTGGAAAGGAAAAACAGAAAACAAAGAACAAATGCGAAGTTTCAGAAACAAGAACAGAAATGGGCTATCAAGAACACGATGAAAACAAAGGGTTAAGGGCCAAGAACAGTGGTGAAACAGTGCAAAGTGTTCATGGCATGTGAAAAATCATGAAATAAGACGCATTCAGGAGAATAATTCACTAATAATGCTTAAACAGAATAGTAATGGCAAGAAACTTCAGAAACAATCAAGAATTAGAAAAAGAGGGTAAGGGGGCCAGTTGCTTACCAAATAAAATGAAGTCGGAGCGATATTCGCCGAGATCAGACGACAGTTGTAACAGTGGCAAAAGCTTCGCGGGAATGGAAGAATAAAAACGATCGCAGAGTTTGGGGCTTAGAGCAATGGCAGATTCGAAGAAAGCTAGAGCTTTTAAAGAGAGAAAAAGCAAGAAATCAGAAATGCAAAAAGTGAAAAAAGGAAAAGGGAAAGAAAAGTTTTATCAAAAAAACCTGAAACGGCGGAAAAAGCAGGGCATTTATTACGCCTGGAGCAACGCACACGTCAGACGGCGTAAACGAGTGAAAGACAGCTTTCAGGCGCGTCACAGACACGGGCCAATGAAGACAAAGCACGTGAAAGAAACGGTTAGATGTGCATGACAGCTTAAAATAAAATTTATAAGAAATTATAACAATTATTGATATAATATATACATATATATTTTTGTATGCGGAGGAATTACTAAAATTTCTATGTGAATCACATGTGTCTTTTTTCAATCCAAAATACTAACAACAGTGACAACCACCTTAAATGAGAACCTAGGGGGCAGTTGTGGGGATATATTTCTTGGGTACCAACATGTGGCATGGCGACGCCGACGTGTTTGGCCGAGGTGCCACGTATTGTGGAAATTACGCCGAGGTGGTCTCGGAGTTACCGAGGTTATCTCCGAAGATATCGGAATCCGAGATAAAGCGGATAAGGGACAAGAGTCCTAGGACAAAGAGGGGACTTAGCCAAGATAAGGATAAAGCTCTTAGGGAGTTTATCTTTATCTCTTGAGAAATCCTAAGTAAGCACTAAATTGAAGTCTATAGAAGTCATGCTTCTAGTAGGACTTGGATTGAGTTAACTATAAAAGAGAGGCACCCCCATGGGTCTAAGGTACACTGTTTTATACTCAAGCTTGTGAGTTTAACTCTTGATTATCTTTTAGAGATATACTGACTTGATCGTCGGAGTGCCCCCGGGTGGAAGAGCCACCGCCGGAGCCCTTTCTTTCTGTTACAGGTTACTAAAGCCATCTATTCTGCCGGTGCTCTCCAGCTGATTACTAGACGGGCAGTGTGGTAAGAAAATTAAAAAATAAAGAGGGTCCAGAAATCCTTTAGTCAGTTACGTAATTAATTAGGATAGAATCTTTTTGGTTCGAGTTTGAATGTAATTGGTGTTTCCTTAGTTGTTGCGTCTCTCGCATTATTGATTATATACATTAGGGGTGAGCAGCGGATATATCGATCCGTCAAAACCGATCGAACTGAACCGAATCGAACCGATCCACCGCATTTTGGACGGATGCGTGATGATGAGCGGACGGTTGCGTATTGATTTTCTCCAATTCGCCAATCTGGTGGACAGATGGCGGATTTGAGATTCCTTTGGCCGCAACCGAACCGCCAAACCGCGAGCACCCCTAGTAATTTATAAGATTTTGTGTTTTTAGTTTGTCTAAATATTCTGTTTGTGTTTTTAATTAAAAAATAATTTAAATATTCTGTTGAAAAAAAGTTTTCAACTTGAATATTTTTTTTGAATTGAAAAAAATAAACGTAATATTTATTTATGTTTTTTGGTTTTTAAATCTATCTCTAAAAGTAATAAATAGAAAATATGATATATGCTGGTAGATTTTTGTTTTTAAAAATAGATATAGGTGTAACAATACAGAGATATACAATCTCTACTACTGCTCTGTTTATGGTTTGAATTATTTTTATATTTTAACACATATTTTATTACTTTATGTGGATGAGTCATGCTATAATTGTAATATATGGATGACGCATGCAGTGATTGTGATATTTTAAAGTTTTAAACTTTTTTGCTTTGGATGAAGCATACAATGATTGTAATGTTTTTTTAAATCATTAACTGTAATACTTTCTTTTTTTTTTTTTTTTGAGGAAGTACACAAGTTGAATTATGTTAAAAGTTTATAAAATTTTAAACTGCCAAACCGATTCGCATCCATCCGCCAAATCGCCAATCCGCTCAATCTACATCTGCCGGATTGGCGGACGGATGCGGAGTAATTTTCTTCAATCCGCCAATTTAGCAGATGGATAACAGATTGGAGATTCCGTAACCGCAACCAACCCGCGCCCACCCCTAATATACATGTACTCTTACAAATGAAGAGAGCCCAAAACCCTTTCGTCAACTATGCTAATTGACTAATTTTTATGTTGTTCTGTACTCAAAACGACGTCGTTTTGGCCATTTTTATGTTGTTCTGTACTCAAAACGACGTCGTTTTGGCCATTTGAGCCACAAAATTTGAGCTACGTAGCATTGTCGTCAATCAAAAGAGAATCTTTCTGGTCAAAACTTAAATTTGATTGGTTTTTTTTGAATTGTAATGTATCTTAAGAAAATTTATTAATTAACTAAAACCCAAATAAGAAAAAGTGCTATATTACGGATTGGGTTTCACTTCAAATGGCAAAACTTAAGATGAGAGGAGACAATATATAAATGCAAACAATTGCTTTGAAATTGATATACAAAATCATTCTTACCATCAGCTCTTATAGTTAGGTCTTTGAAATCTCTTTGCAACGACAGTCGATTCAACATAGATTTTTACATCAACATCATCACTCCACCAAAGCATACAGGTATGCCATTTTTCTAAACCATTTTTAGTTCTAATGGCTTTACCTTTAAGTGTTGTAATGAAATTTTGCTCACCTTTTCATATCCAAGTTATCTCTCAAAAATATTTACAATACTCCAAGAAAGCTTGAATATTAGTTTAATTAGCATTCTTGCATATTATTAATTTATGATTATTCTTGATAACACATATCATATATTAAATATAAAATGTCAAATTTAAGGAATTAACATGTTTTAGGTTTCTACTCTAGCTATATGTCAACAATAATTTTTTTTTTTTAGAACATGAAAATATTTATATTTAAAAACAACATATATAAATAAGACCTCAAAGGGCAATACAAGCCATACAATAAAACGAACAAAAAAATAATAATAATAACAAAAAATAACAAATCTGCTAAAAGAATCAGTTACAATTCAAGAAAATCACTGATCTTCTCAAAGATGGCTCTGGAAAGCAAGATCTGCTTGAAAGCTCGTCATCCTCATTGCCGCTACCCAACTCTGCTACCGCCGCCTCCGTACTTTGGACACCACTAGAAGCTAGAGTTGAGGAGGAAGTACACCCACAATGGTATGAGAGAAGGCTTGAAAAAGGAAGAAACCATTGTGGGTATTGAAAATCTAAATATCTATGTTGAAATCGG